ATTCACCTCTCTGATTTGGGATTTCTATTTTGGGTGTGTTTCGGTTTTGATGTTTTGGAAGTAATCAATACGGTAATAATAGTTTCAATTAGTTTTAGAGTATTAATCTAATATTTAAACTTTTTGAGGTAGTTGGCCTAATTTCCCCAAAAAAGAACATTTGGGGTTTCATTGGAGAAAAAAACAAGAATCGGGCGGCTGAAGGAAGAAACTAATTGGGCGGCTGGATGGAATAAATATATACACGCATACAGAAAATTAATCACATTCCGTCAAATTTTTCGACGATGTCACTTCATTTTTTTTTTTGTTTAATTTCGACATTATGCCAGGCTAAGTTATTTTTGTGCTAATATTACGTTGAAACTTATATCATGAATCTTTAAATTTTTTAATCTTATTTATTTTTGACATTCAAAATACGTTTTAATTATGGCATGATTGATATGAATTTAATTTTCTCTACAATGATATGTACAATAGTTGTATAAATTTTGTGGCTTATTTTATCTTCAAAAAATTGAAAATAAGTTAGACATACTGTCAATTGTCGTAGAGTCCTATTGGAAATAGAAATATACCGATGTACTTTACGTGATCTTTAAGTATTCATAAATTTTTAATACATTTTTATATGTTTGCATCCGTCATAGAAATATAATCGGGTCTCATGTAAGAATAAGTTTAATTCTACTCGAGAGAGATTGTTAAACTAATTATGAATATTAATCTTCATAATTGATAGGGGTATCCTCAACTAAGATTTTCATGAATTTTAAAGTATTATAAATTTTAATGAATTTCGTGGATTTGAATAGATTTACACAAATTCCATAAGAATCTCATCAAATATGATGAAATTTCAAAATATTTGATTATGTGTATTTTTAAGCTTGAAATCCATCCAAATCTTGTAAAATCATTCTATTAATAAAATCTTTATAAATCCATTAGTTATTAACGATACCATTGAATTTCATTATAATCTTAATTGAGGATACTTAAAGTTTAATGAATTTCATTAAAATCTATTAAATTCTAAATTGAGGACACTAAAATTTATAAGGATTTTTAAATCCATCACAATCTCAATTGAGAACACTCCTGAATTGTGTTGCCAAATTTATAAGTTCCAGGTTAAAGATGATTGATATAAGGGGATTCAAGATTCTAGTACACTTTTCATCATCATATTTTTATAAAATTTGCATTTATTTTAGTTAAATTAGACCTTGCATTAATAAGTAGAGTATTAGATCACAATTTAGCTATATATATGGCTAAGTTAATTCGAATTTAAACTAATACATTCTCCCTGAGAACGATACTTGAACTTAAAATTCATTTTGCGAAAAAATATTTTTTGTGACATCCATCCCTAGTTTTTTTTTCAAATATAATTTGAATTAAAATATAAAAGCAAAATAAAATAATATTGATTGAAAAGATGGAACCATGTTCGCATCGTGTCCCATTTACCATTCGGGAAGGACAATACGAGACGACATGAAGAGAGATTTTGCCTTCCTTATATTCAAAGCACAAATTTAGATTTCATAGCAACTTTTCGATAAATCTATTCACATGTGATATATCGTAAAATAGAAAGGCTTGCATAAGGAGACATCATGAAAACGGTAAAATGCATTCAAGAAAAAAAAAATTATTGGCCATCTATGATATACGTATCCATACTTTTATTGTGATATTCAAATTACCCCATTATTTTGAAAATTGAAAGAAATGGATAATCTCACATCTAAAGATTCTTACACATTTTAATCATATAGGGGTAACGAGAAGAGGATAAAAAATATTTCATTCAATTCAAAGAATAAATTGATTTTAAAAAAAAAATCTTCTCCCCTAGTTGAGCAATCCATTCTCAAAGTACATTTAACTATTTTGAACCTCTAATAGGTGCATATGCTTGTATACCTACGTGGTCTAGTTCAAAGCCATGTATAAAATGTAACACAATCCTATCAGATTTTCTCTCAACCATAAGCTAAATCAAGATAAGATGATAAGCCAACGTGGCAAATCATACAGTATTTTTCACTTCCCTTGACTAAAAACACAAACTCTTTCTTCCCACAAACTAAGCCATGGCTTCCCCAACTTTGATCACCCCTACCACTTCTACACCAAAACCTCTCACACCTATCAGATCAAAACTCACCACCATCACCATAAACGGCACTGCTACCAATGCCACAACCGCATTATCCACTCATCGTCGCGACTTTTTATATCTTGTGGCTGGTTTCGTCTCTCCAGTTTTACTCCTCCCAGTAACGCCGGCGTGGGCCGCCTTAGAAGATGAATATGTAAAGGAGACTGAGGACGTAATCAACAAGGTCAGAACTACCATTAACTTGGACAAGAATGACCCTAACATAGATTCTGCTGTATCTCAGTTAAGGGAAACATCCAATTCTTGGGTGGCCAAGTATAGAAGGGAGAAGGCTTTGCTGGGCCGAGCTTCGTTTCGCGATATTTATTCGGCGCTTAATGCTGTTTCAGGCCATTATATTAGCTTCGGCCCCACCGCACCAATCCCTGCTAAGAGGAAGCAAAGAATCCTTGAAGAGATGGACACTGCTGAGAAGTCTCTGTTGAGGGGGAGATGAAACAGGCTAGTTTGTGAATTGTCACAATTTTTTGGGTATGTTTTGTAATTTCGTAATTTGTTTATGAGGTTTATCGTGTTCATTTCTATGAAGAGAATAATATACATAAGTATTTTGAAATTGTAGTGTACTTAAATTTTAGATAATGTACTTGTGACACGCTTTATGGAAAAATTGGCTAATAGTAGACGTTTAATAAGAAGAAACATTATAGTATCTAATTCTATCGATTTTACATACTAAAACATATTTTTAAGGAAGTATTTAGATAACATAAGTCTCTCAACCGTTTACCCTTGATTGATTCGTGCTGTAAACAGATTTTAGGCGTCATTGGTGACCCAAATTTATGTAACAAAATAAGAAATAATTTACAGTTTGGTATATGTATTTTGATTGTCGGCACGCTGGAATAAAATTGGTCGAGAGTTAAGACGGTAAAAATATTTTAAATCCTAAGTTAATAACATAAACAAAGCTGCTACAAGTACATTGTGAGCTACATTATGAATTACACTCTTCAATGTGGTATAATCTACCCTATTGATTTTCCCATCAATGCACAGATTCCCCCCACATAGGGAGGAATGTCATGCTAGATGTACACCAAAGTTTACATCTAGCATTTTTCTAGCATAAATCCTAGAAGTCTAGCATGCTGCATTATCCATTTAGGCTTCACATGTCTGGAGTAGCTATACTTAAAAGAAGTGCGAGAGACTAAGGTTACTATGAGTGCAAGATTGGTAACTGTTACCATACGTGTCACGACCCGTTCCAAGTCACCCTAATGGACCTGACACGTGTCGTGCGCCGATGGTAGATACCAACTAAATGCTGGATCCACCACCAAGGCGACTAAGACCCGTTCTAACTGTGACCCATTTT